AAAAGTGGATCCACACTTATAGGGTCGGAGGTTGTAGCTTTTGGGCTATTAGAGTCCCTTGGGATGCCAGCTGGTGTTGGTATAGGATCCTTAGCATGAGGGACATTATTAAAAATCACATTGGGGTTACCATTGGCAATGGTCTCTCTACTTCTTTATGGCATATTCATGGCACCCTTTAGGCTCTATTGATAAATTGATCCAATCTAGGACCTTCTATGAATCGAGACTTGGTCACAATGCAAGGGTGAGCATGGCTATTAGAGATGGGCAATGGATTCAGTAGGAAGAGATTCGGGAGTGATTCCCTCAAGTGGTTAGTCAGGGTCCCCCTATTCCCTTGATTCTTTCCTGGGACTTGGTCTTCTGGAAGAATAGGGAAGGAAGATTTTCAACCAAGCAAGCCTGGATTGATTTAGCCTTGGAGAGTGCCTAGGTTCATTGGAGCCACTTTGTGTGGACAGGCACATGCATCCCGCACCACTATTTTAATATATGGCTGGCCATCAAGCGCAAATTGCTTACCCAAGATAGGATTCTGGCTTGGAGGAGTGCAGAGGGTTTGGAGTGCACTCTTTGCCAGGGTACTATCAACTCTCATGATCATCTCTTCTTTTTGTGCTCGTTCTCTTGTGGGTTATGGAGGGTAGTGCGGTCTAAGGGAAGATTTAGGGTTCTATTAGTGGTTGGAATAGCATTATAGTGTGGTGTGCTTCTACATTCAAAGTAAAAAAAATATTAGGAGGTTGTTGGTTAGGGCTATAATCTATTTTATTTGGTAGGAAAGGAACTTTAGGGTTGCTAAGGGCATTAGGAGGAGTCGTGAGTGTGCGATGAATGGTGTTTCAGGATGTTCGTCGTCGCTTCTTAAGTCTTAATTTCAAAGAAAATGACAGAGTTTTGGAAGAATGAGACTTACCCATGAGTTGTAGTGGGGTTGGTAGACTTAGATAGTTGTTTGTGGTGGCCGTTTTGGAGTGTTATGGAGGTGGGGTTTTACGCATTGTTTGTGGGTTTGGTAGGTGGCTGTTTGTTATTGCAGGTTGGAGGGATGCTAGGAATGGTTGCGTTTGGTGTTTTGGTCTTGCTCCAACAGGCTTCTGCTAGGAGGGTTTTTTGTGTGTTGCTGGTGTGAGTCAAGGGAGGGTTGTTGTGCTGTGTTGCAAGTTCTCTTCGAGGGCATGGGGTGTTTTTTTTTTTTTTTTTTTCTCTAGCATTGTGCAGTTGCTTTTGGTTCTTATAGGGAGGTTTTTTTGTCTAGTTTGGATGATCCCTTGGGAGTTTTGATGAGTGGCAGCATGGTTTTGATGCAGAAGTGTGGGTGATTTTAGCTGCAATATGCAGCTTGGGGTGCTGCAATTCGGGAGTGTAGTTTTTGGGGCTATTTGTGCAGTTTCTTTTTTGTCCCTTTTCATTTAGTGTAATGAGGGAGTTACGTTTGCAACTTGGATTTGAGTTTTTATGTGGATATCTTGATTTCTCCTATGTATAGGTTGTTAAGTCGTAGGGTAAAAGGTTCTTGTAAATGGCTACTTCTTTCCTTTTGTGGTCTTTCCTCCTTAGGTTGGCCTGTCCAGGTGTGTTTTTACTCCTTGGGGTTGTCCAAGGTTTCTGGTTTCAAAAAGGTGTCCCCCTTTTGTAAGGTGTAATTCCTTTATTCTTTACAAAATTACTTGTTTACCCAAAAATATTGAATTTAGGTTTTAAGGGATCTTTAAGCCATTTGGAATTTACTACAGTCACACAAAAATCGCATTTACCTATCTCTAGCTTTCACTCAATTTATGCTTTTATTACTTAAACTAACTAGATTTCATCTCTTGATCTTAACTTAGTCTATTAGATCAATTAACTCTTGGTACCATAAGAATTGAAGGCGTTAAGAATAATAATAAAACTTAGAAAAAATATTCTTAACAAAATCTAACATAAATCCATCAACATATATTTATAAATCGGGTTCCATCTTAGCCTAAAAAATTTAATTAGTTCATAGCTATATTAAAGAAACAACCATTGTAAAAATAACAAACATGAGTCCAAGGAAAAGAAATAAAAAAAAACTTATCTGATTGATGAACCAAAGCTCCAACAATAGTTGCTTTGATCTTCCAAATTCTGGCTAGTCTTCTATCTTTTCTCTCCTCTCTCCCACCATTAAAAATTGCTAAAGACATCTTATAGTGATAGGGTTTTAAGAGCATGATTAAAATAATTCTATTCAAACTAGGATAAGAAAATTCAGCTAAAAACTTAACATAGTTAGTCTAGAATTAGGACTTCAAGAATCGTGCTGTGGTAGAGAATTTATTATGCCGCGGCACACTCAAAATTGCATTCATTCTAATTTGACCTGAGACTCCCGAACCGTTTGTTCCCAATCATCTCATATTCTGTCACCAACATCATTCTTAATCTGAATAGTATTTTTAAGTATTTATAACATGAAAACATGCAAAACATACCCGTGATCCTATAAAATATATTTATGAAATAATTAAGTCAAATTACACAAATTAAACCTAATTTTCTACAAATAATCACTATAAGCCACTAAGTATAAGTGTATTTTCAAGCACGTATCAATCTACATTTGCAAAACACTCAAGATACAATTTGTTACTTGTTTAAAAAATCAGTCCAAAAGCAAGAGTACCTCCAATGCATCTTAAAACTCTTTTACAAGCTTGCCAATGTAGTTAAGTAGGATTTTACAAAAACTAGCTCAACTTGTTCATTGAGAAGGCAATATTTGGCTTGGTGAGAGTGACATATTGAAGTTCTTCCATTACGCTTCTATATACTGAGGGTTGATCAAACTTTTCACTATCTTCAAGGGCAACTTTAGTACTTGTTGCACATGGTTTTGCTTCATTCATGACTGCTTTAGGTAGGAGATCCTGTGCATTGGCTTTGATGAAACCAGCAAGATTTTTTTATTACTTTAAATCCAAAAATATAATTTAAGTAACCAAGAATCTTCAAAGAGAATTTCTTATTAAGATGCTAAATCAAGTCATTTATAAGCTAACAATCATTGCCTATCAGAAGTATGTCATCAACATACATAAACACATAGATAACTTTTTGATCCACTTTACAAACAAAGAGATTTTTATCGGCCACTGAACTAGTGAATCCCTAGGATAGCAAAGCTGATTTTAGCTTCTCAAACTAAGCTCTTAGAGCTTGTTTGAAACCATACAATGTCAAATTTAATCTGCAAATCTGCTAACCAAGCTCTTAGAAAATGGTATGTGATGAGTTCTTAAATTTTGGTTTTGCAATTCCTTATATTTAAAAGAGAGAATCGAAAACCCTAATTCATAAAATCCATCCACTTTAATTAACTATTTATAAATTTAACACTATACAATTTCATTATGCGAATCTCATATGTTTGGATCATCATCTCACAAGCTAATCTAAGGTATATTATATACTTGATTTCATATTATTGTTTTTGAGATACAATGTTTTTAGGCTGTGTTTGGTTAGGGCTATGGGCAGATAACTCCTGTTATCTATCTTTGATTCCAGATTTTCCTTTGTTTGGTTTGAGAGTAATATGAGATTACGGGAATGTTTCATTCCCAATAGTGAATACTATTGGTCATTTTGGGGGTTATTAGATTACCTAGTCTAGGGATGTTAATCTTTTTTTATCGGGGTTATTTTTTTTTACCAAATTTGCTCTTAAATAAAAGCCATTTTAGACTGAATTGCCCTCAAATGTCTACCAAATAACAATTACACAGACTTCCTACATTTGAGAATTTAGCCAAAACATCCCAGCCACAAAAAATTAAAAGTTAACGAAATACCCCCAACCACCAAAGACCACAATTGGCCATCGACAATAGTTGCCAGATCGACGCATGACTGGCAGCATCTGGTGGACCGTGCGCCGATCTGGCTATTTTCGACCATATTGAAGGCCGAAAACGGTCAGAATAGTTTGGCCATTTCCAGCCAGATCCACGACGATCTGACTATTTTTGGCCTTCAATAGGGCATGGATCTGGTTGGAAACAGCTAAATTGTCTTGGATCCGGCCGTTTTTCGGCCAAATCCACGACGATCTAGCAGTTTTCGGCCTTCAATCTGGTTGGAAACAGCCAAAACGGCGCACGACATACCAAATCTTGTTGGTCGTGCATCGTTTCGGTGACTGCCGATGGTGGTGGCTGGGGGTATTTTGTTAAAATTTAAACTTTGTTGTTGAGTGTTTTAGCTGAATTATCAAACATAGGGGGTTAAAAGTAGTTTATTTAAATAATAATAATAATGATAATTTTATAATGATATTAAAAAGGAAGGGCTATTCAGTAAAAGCTTATGTTGATAATATTTTATTCTTCTCAACCAAACATCTTAATTATTTATACCCACTAATCTAACCAAACATATTGATATAACATTCCCCAATAATCTTCAAGGTCATCTATCTCACTGGTAATCCTACATTTTTAACAATAAAACATTCTCCGAACCAGATGCACCCTTAAGGTTATTTTTACAAATGTTAGGGTTCTTTAAGTGTAATTTACTCCTCAAGCTAGAGAGCTCAAATTTGTGATATAAGACTACGACTAGACTCATAAGTTTGAGGGCAATCTCCTAGTGGTATTTTCATCATGTTATGAAGTTAGCAATGCGATACATGTATGGGCAGACCTACTCAATGTCGAGTAGAAGCTAGTTACCCCACTCAATTTTTTTTTTCTTTTTTCTTTTTTTTTCATTGATTTTGTTTCGTTTTTCCTTTCACCATCTTGTATTTTTACTAGTATTCTTAGATTTGACCCTACTCATTTACTTTTCTCCTATTTTATGTTATATTATTTTAAAGTTGACCGTCTAAAATTAATTCAAGTTCGTCCTTGGATATATGTAGTTCCTTCTTCATTGAAATTATATTTATTTATACTTAAATTAACCGGGAGATATTGCTATAATTGGGTTTGAACTTTTAATATTTTGAATAGTAGATGTATAAATTAAAATTAAAAAAGTTGATCATCTATGATCTTAAAAGAAATTATTCATCAAGATGTAAATTCGATAGGCTTGAGTAAAATCAATGAAGTCCATGATAACATACGTTCCGTCAGCTTTACATGCACAATAGGAATTGCCTATATATATTACTTTCCTTCGGATTCATGCTTAACGATCTTATCAACAATTGGCTCAACCATTGTCTCCAAGTCATCAAGGTCTTCCTTCAATGCATTGACCTGTACTTAATCTAGACCAAAATTAGTAAATCTACGATGTAATTTCTAACATCACAATGATACTACATTAGTAATGTGATATAACAAATTAATGCATGCTTATTATATAAATATTTAATATATTTCAAAAATGAAAAATAAAAGTAATACTATATTTTTTCAAAATGTATCCTAAATTTTACATTTAGACGATCCAACATCTTACATTTTATTGAATATTATTGGCAACATCATTGTGTTAAATCATCATATCAAATTTTATTTTACACATTGGAATGAATTAAAATAAAAAATAAAATAGTGGTGTTATTTAGTCACCACAAAATTCTTGAACAGGCCCCATTAACTACATTAAAATTTCTTCAAATAAAACTACTTGAGAAGCACCATTTTATTGATCCTGAATCCCTGATAATCTTGTGCTCCTAGGTTTATATATTATCATAAGTTTTGAGCAAATATTTCCTGTTGACCTTTATAAAAGTTTTACGGGAAAATAAGGAGCCAAATCTAAACTTTCTTAAAATATTATATTTTTTAATCTTCGTCGATCTTCAAAGAAACTGTCTACAACTGTAGTAGTGGAGGTTCAAGTAATGCAAGGTTAGTTTGGAACTCTATTAGGGTCCTTTAAAACATAGTTCAAAATTATGGGTTATGTTAAGAAACGTGGTTTCTGTAAGCAATTGGGGCATTTGCTGATTTGTGATATTACCAATTTAATAATATTATTAATGTCTTGTTGATAATAACTATATATTAGATTGAGTAATTGGGTGAATAAATAATAAAAAGGGTTACCTTGTGAATGAAATTAATGGTTGGTTCGGCATCCTGAGCAGTTGCTTTGGAAACACGTTCAACCAACAATGCAGCTTCTTGGAGTTTTGTATGATCGTGAAGCTTATCTGCCATTTGTGTTGATACTTTGTCTGCCACCTTTTCTACTACCTCTGCTACATTTTTTATCCCCTCAACCACCATGTCTGCCTCTCCTATTAAGATTCACAAATTAAAAACTAATTAATTTCACGAATTTATTAATCTATGTAAGGTTTCTAATGTACATAATCATCTTTTTCATTCATTCCACAAAATTTTAAGAATAATTAGATCCTTTTGCCTGTAAAAAATTAACTCGAATTATGGTATTTCTGTTGTAGATTGTTTTTTTTTAAATTTAAATACAAAATAATTATCTTTATAAATACGAGAGGGCAGACGCACAAATGTATTTTACATATTGTGCTCGTATTAGAATATTCATAGATCAATATATTATTCACAATATAAATTTGATAAATTTATTATATAATAATATTATTAGTCTTAACATTTTCTTTGACAATTAAAGAAGAATAAATACCTTAGGTTTTACGACATCAACGTATTAATTATTTAAATCATTTCATTTCATAGTTTCTACGACATCCGTAATTAAGGATTAGAAGAAGATATCTCAGTTTATGGTAATTTAAAATTCAGTTGGTGGTAAAAAGGTGCATGTATGACCAAAAAAAAAGAAACCTTATTCTGAAAATATCTATCTATAATTTCGTGAAATTTACCTTCAATTTTTTGGAGCTTCTCCCATTTTTGTTTCCAGAAAGGTATCAAGAGAGATAGTATAGATTCCAAAATCCATTTTGCCCTGCATGCTAATTCAATTAATTCTGTTGATTCTTCTTATTTGATTTTAGTATATTTTATTTGCCTATTATAATCATCTAAACAATGAATTATCAACCCTACATTATGCAATTAAACAATTTCTTAATTAAATTCATACCAGAGGGCGAAGTTAAACCTTGGAGGTGGGGGTGTTGCTGGTGCTGGTTTAACCTTGTCTATATCATTCTTCAACCTACAATAAAATTAAGAGAAAAATTATTAGATCTATTTTCGAGTAGTCGAAATCGAGCGATAACAAATGTTTGGTAGCAATATTCAATCACATGTTAGCATCAAGTTTTCTCCATGCTCCACCGTTGCCATTGCTGATCAAATGGAGACCCTGAGTCTGATGCATTGAGAAGCCATGTCCAAGATTAGCGACTGTAACACGGCCGGCCGGAAGATGCCATGGAGAATTATAGGTGGAGGTGTATCTGTAACGATGAAGTAGTTGAAGAAAGCTTTGCCAAGAACCCCTTGTTGACATATTGAACAATTAACTGAATATGTTAAAGGTATGTGTTTGAATGAGTATTTATATGCGTTTTCTTGATTGGGATTTGGAGAATTGAAGGTTTATTAATAATTTAGGTAGTTGGGCGAAAGGATTTAACGTGTGGGGCTGGGGAAAGCTTGAAGGGCAAATGCCAGAAATGGTCGCATAATTGTGCATATAAGCACGCCAAGGGAATAATGCAAGCTAAGCTAAGCATGAGAATTGTGGCTTGCAAGTAAAAGCTTGAAACCATATCCATATGTTGCTTCTTTTGGTAGTAAATGTGAGGGACTACAGAGGCTACTACTTAATTACCTCAAATATTTGAATTAAATTTCTCCTTCATTCATTCTTGGTTTATCATTGATATTCCATGCATAGGATCTGAAGGATGAGAATAAGGTTGCTCAAAGCAGGATTTATCTGCCTCTTTCTATTTTATGAAATGAAACTTTAATTGTTTTCTTTTTGTATATACTATATGAATTCATTTCTTTAAAAACCATATCAATTTATTTCTTAATATTTCCGAATTGTCTCTTGTCCTTTCGGATACTTTCAAAGCCTGATCTAAGATTAAGGAATTTAGAGTGCAAAAGATAAATTAGACTTGAAGATAAGTTAATTTTTTTTAATCCTTTTGTAATTTCATTGAAAGATAAAATTATAAGCTAAATTTATAGTGGGGTCCCATCTCTCTTATATTCCATTTTTTTTTTTTTTTTAAGCTTCATCAAGTGATATAAGAGCCTGAATTCAAGCAGTTAAAGAAGACACAAAAGTGAACAAAAAGAATTAATGTAACTTAGCAATAGTCAACATGACAAAGCACTACCAACCACACCCTAATCAACCTATTGAATAAAATCCTATCTGAAAAGTGAAAACAATTGATTAATGAGTTCTATTCTTCTAAGCTCCATTTGAAAAAACTGTATCAAACCCACCCTAATAAAACAATGAACAAATCCAATCCAAAAAATATCTAATTCTATAAAATTAACTTGAAAAATGATAACCACAATCTAAATACAACTATTAAATATCTCACGACCTCGAAACTTTAGACCAAACAAAGTGACTAATGAGAAAAAGACATAAGCTCTATACAAAACAAAGTTATATTTACATCCGAACAGCTTAGCTATAACTTCGCACAATGCAATTTTTCTACTACCAGCACATGATACATAGATTATTCTTAATCAATAGTTTCCAGAAATTAAGTATGATATGGCCACGAAACATACTGGAACTGCCTACTGCATGTGATTGGGCGCTTCATGATCTCATCAATTCTCACAAAACTACTTCCAGGATAAACCATCCATGTAGTGATTATAATAAATGTTGCATTACTTAAGAAGATAAAGTTGGGATACAAATTTAAACTATAGCATCGCCCTTAAACAAAACTATTTTTCAACAATACACTTCAAAGCAAAAAGGTCTGATCAAAGTATATACGAAAAGCTCTAACTCAAGCAAGCTTCAAACAGGCTGCATTGTTCAGTTCAATAAGATCATGTGGTTATCCTAAAGTAAACATCTAAAACAATAAATACACCCACAGTCGCATCAAAATTTAAGATAAAATGCATCTGAAAAATAATTACAGTAGGAATCTCATGTATATAATATGTATACATGGCATATTGAATTTTCCTGGTGTGCAAATATGCATGATTTCATTAACTCTGCCTCCTGCAGGCTGGAGCTGCTCTTACAATCAAATTCTTATGGAAAACGTTTCCTAAAAGTCAAAATTCATGTTTGGGGATATGATTGATGGAACCACCCTGCAAATCAGTGAATCACAGCAACACACACAACACACAACAAAGAAGATGCATAGAATAGAGGAAATAGCAGATTGCATTAATTGGAACTGAGTGATCGTAAACAGGAACAATTGACATAACAGACAGATTCCTAGCAATTCGAGGAGCCGGGGACCACCCAATCAGACCTATGAATATAATTCTTGATATCCCGCCTCCTTCACTCCCTCCCTTTTATAAGCTAACTATTCTATTCTGTAACTAATTGACAACTACGTGTCCATTCTCATAACAACCTCACCATGCTCTAACAACCCTCATTGCACACCTCACCGTCCCTTAACAAACTCACACTCAACGTACCCTTACTCCTATTCTTGCCCTTGGATTTATAGACCTTGTGTATGGGAGGTCTAACAATACCCAAGGTGGAATTGAGGAAATTGGCTGTTGATGATATCAAAAGACTCCCAGGTGGCATTGAAAACTGGCAGATCCTGCCATCGGATGAGAACCTCTGTGGAGCCATCCAGAAGAGTCCGTACATCCAGCACTGCCTCAGGCTGAATCTAAAGTTCCAGATCATCCGTGAGACAAGAAGGTAGAGTTCGTACAGGAATTGAGCTATGCAGGCAGTGCTTCAACTGGGATACGTGAAAAACTGGGTGAATACGGGCTGCTGTGGGCAGTTCTAACTTGTATGCCACCTGACCAATTTTCTCCAAGACTTGGAAAGGGCCATAAAACCTGGGACTCAGTTTTTCATTCAACCGTGTGGCCAGAGTTTTAAATTTGTAGGGCTGAAGCCTAAGATATACATAGTCTCTTGGAGAAAACTAGATATCCCTTCGATGGCGGTCTACTTGGTCTTTCATGTGAACTTGTGCCACTTCCAAGTTGTGTTTGAGGTCTTGAAGGATGGCATTTTGCTCACGGATCTGGTGGTTTACTTCATCGACCTAGGAGGGGTAATCGGTGAACTTAAGGAGAGTCGAAGGGTCACGACCATACAAGGCTTTGAAAGGGGTCATCTTAGGGGATCTATGATACGTTGTGTTGTACCAAAATTCAGCCCATGATAACCAGTTTGGCCATTGACGGGGCTGTGAGCTGCATAAACAGCGAAGGTATGCCTCTAAGCACCTATTCACCACTTCGGTTTGGTCATCCGTTTGAGGGTGGTAAGTGTAGCTAAATTTCAAAGCTGTCTTTGATACTCTGAAAATCTCTTGCCAAAAGTGACTCATGAAAAGTCTGTCCCTGTTCTAAATGATGGTCTGAGGAAAACCGTGAAGCTTCACTATCTCTTTTATGAACACTAAGGCCACCTCTTTGGCGGTATAAGGGTGTGACAAGAGTAAAAAATGGCCATATTTAGTCAATCGATCAACGACAACCAGAATGCTATTGAATCCCTTGGCCCTTGGAAGGCCTCCAATGAAGTCCATTGTCAAGTCATCAAATGCCTGAGTGGGAATAGGAAGTGGCTGAAGTAACCCTGCTGGTTTCAGAGCCGAATGCTTGTTAACTTGACAGATAGTGCAAGTTTTAACAAAATCCTAGACATCCTTCTTCAGGCCCACCCAATAACCCACATTGGCAACCCTTTTGTATGTCTGAAAAAATCCGGAATGGCCCCCTGAAGGACTGGAATGAAATTTAGTTAGTAACTACTGGACAAACGAGAACCTTTAGGCAAAACTAACCTGTCCTTGTACAATAGGCAGCCATGTCGGAGTTTATAGTTGGGTCAGCTGTTGGGTTCCAAAACCAACTCTTGGATCAACTGTCTAAGCTTGGGATCATGGTGGCTTCATTTGCCAAGTCCTCATACTCCGCAAACTGAATCATCGACAGAGAAGATAACTCCGGTTCCTCATCTCATTGGGATAATGCATCAGCAACCTTATTAGTGGTTCCTGGCCAATACTGAATGTCAAACGAAAACCCCATTAATTTGGACAACCATTTCTGCTGTTCCGGGGTCTTAATCTGCTGATCCTGGCTTCTCTAATCTGTTCGAATGATAAACTTCCTACCCAATAAATAAGGACTCCATTTGTGCACAGCGAATACGACAGCCATTAACTCTCTTTCATAGACTGATTTTTGTTTAGCTTGAGGGGAGAAAGCCTTACTTAAGTAAGCTATGGGTCGTTTTTGTTGAACTAATACAGCTCCCATACCATGGTCTGAGGCATCTGTCTGTATCTTGAATGGAGAGTTGAAGTCCGGAGCTGCCAGAACTAGAACTGAAGTTATAGCCTCCTTTAAGGCATTAAAGGTCTGCTGAGCCTCTTGATCCCAATTAAAACAGTTTTTCTTCAGTAGCCTCGTAAGTGGTTGGGCTATGCTGCCATACCCCTTAACAAATCTGCGATAGTACCCCGTTAATCCTAAAAATCCACGAAGACTTTTCACATTAGGTGTGGGCCAGGGAACCATAGCAGCAATTTTTTGGGGGTCTGCCTCCACCCCATGAGCCGAAATTAGATGCCCCAGATATTCCAACTTTTGCTGCTCGAGTAAGCATTTTTTTTTAAATTTCCAACCAATTCACTGTCGTCCAGAATTTGAAGAGCTTGCCAAAGGTGTCGAATGTGGGATTCCAAGTCAGGACTGTATATCAGAATATCGTAAAAAAAAAACCAGCACGAACTTACGCATAACTGGTTTAAAAATGTTGTTCATAAGTGACTGAAATGTTGAAGGAGCGTTGGTCAAACCGAACGGCATAACCAAGAACGCGTAATGCCCCTCATGTGTTCGAAAGGCTGTTTTGGGAATGTCTTCGGCTTTGATACTAATCTGATGGTATCCTGACCGAAGATCTAGCTTAGAGAAGGTGGTTGCCCTCGCCAATTCATCCAACAATTCCTCGATGGTAGGGATTGGAAACTTGTTGGGAATTGTTATTTCATTGAGGGCCCTGTAATCAATGCAGAACCTCCAGCTTTCATCTTTTTTCTTGACTAACAACATCGGGCTGGCAAACGAACTGGTACTTGGTTGGATAATACAGGCGGCCAACATTTCTTCCACCAATTTTTCAATTTCATTTTTCTGAAAATAGGGATACTTATAGGTTCTAATGTTAGGGGTTTGGGCGCCTTCTTTAAGGTTTATGGCATGGTCATGGGTACGGTGTGGAGGAAGTTTGGAGGGTTGGTCAAAAAGGTGCTAATACTCATCTAAGACTGCCTGAACTTGCGGACTGACATCTTCACCTGTGGTCATTAGCTTCCCCTCAATTGAACAACATTCCACTAGAAACCCTCCCCCAGTGCTGTTGATGGATCGTAACATTGATTTCAGGGAGACCACTGACTTTACCAGAGACGGATCCCCTTGTAAACTGACTCTAACCTCATCCACTTCAAACCTCATGGTCAGCTTCTTCCAATTAGCACATACGTCCCCTAAGGAACTCAACCACGTAATGCCCAATATAACATCAGC